AGCAGGACAAAAATCAATGCAAAATATATTCCACTGACTCTACACTATTGCTTTAAAAAAACGAGTTATTTTTGTCCCCCATTTTTGTTTTCACTTTATTTCTCAAGTGACTCCTCTTAGTATAATTTCTTTGGACTAAATACACAGTCTGTAGGCAGCTGCATAAGCTGGGATCTCAGCATTTTTGTGTGGGTTTGGTCCTCACTTTGCAGAAAAAGCAAATGAGTTTAGACAGAGAGTGGGCTAAGTAATAAAAAATGTTACCTTGGTATGCATTAAGGTGCTAGACCTGTGTTGTTTTTTTTTAAGCAACAGAGAATGTACAGCTTCATTTCTTTACCTGAATTGTGTTGAAACCCTTCGGCAAAGAGGTAATTTTTTATTGACATTGTGTTTGTTTTCTCTTGCAGCAAACAAGACAGTCCTGCATTTGCTCACTGTGAAGCTAATCAACTCCTTGTCAACCAGATCTGAACTAACTTCTGAAGCAAATCCCTGTCTCCAGGGTTTTTCTCAGAATGACGATTCTGGGGCATGTCTACTCTTCTGCAGCCATGCACTTGCCTGCTGCTAATGCTGCTTCTATCAAGAACATGTCATGAGGTAACTATGGTTAATTTAAAGAAATCACAGCAGTTCTGACACAAGTTGCCACTCACATTATAATCTGCACCAATGCAATTAGAATTGATTGAGCCACTGCAAACAACCAATGGCAAAACAAAGGTTTCCCGATATATACTTAATTAAGATGATCTATAAATATGGATTAAGTTAAAAGGCCTTTGAGATGCATGTGTGCATTGCAGTATGTCTGCTGATGCCATCAAGCCTTTACAAGACACAGCTGCAGCTGGAGGGATGGGCAGAGGGAGTAGGAGCTGGTGTCCAAGCCCTGTCCCATTGTGGAGCAGTAGAGCTCAGAAGCTCCATGCCTGGGGCTTGTGATCAGCGAGGAATCGAACATGAAAGGTGTTGCTTAGGGTGAAGAAGGATGCTCTTCTTCACTGCCTCCTTGTTTGAAGGAAGAAGGCTTTTCAAAAATTTGTTTTCAATTCAGTGTTTGGTATCAGCCTGAGGTTTGGGGCTTTTTCTGTGCCAGAAGTGAATCTGTCCACTGGCTCCCACTAACCTATTTAGCTTTTATAAAACAGGTACTATACATTAAACACATAACTCGTTGTTGTCACTCCTGCTGGGAGATAGCTGTGGAAATTTTGCTATGAATATGATCTCAAATTTAAAAATGAAATTGCTTTGGCTTTTTCTCTGCCCCTCTCAGTGTCCCTGGGAGAAGTGTGATCACACTTGGCAGAACTGCTTCACACAGACTTTGCGCAGCACGAAGGGTGGGAAAGTGGGATAGTGGGGATGCAGAGCCAACCTCTACCAAATTTTCTTTTTTCTTAGGAACTGAAATCTATTTGATAGCTTCAGTTATAGCCTTTGAACTGCTGGGTAAATGCTTTGAATTATACCTGTTGTTTGGCTCTGCGTTTCCAGTCCCTACACAGAGGTCCTGGACATGTGACCACATTCTCTGAATTGCACTTAAATTCAAGCTGCCTGAAGAACAGCAAGAAACTCCTATTCCTGTCCGTTAGCACTGCTAGTGATCTTCTACTGATCTTCTTCTCCCTGTTCTGCCTCCTCCATATTGCACTCCCTCTCCACCTTGGCGCAATTTAATCCTGGGGTGTCCTGCTGGTCCTTGGCAGCCCTCCCGTGTCCTTACAGTAAGCACAAAGTATTTGGCTTTAACTCACTCAGCCATATGGTGAGAAACTCAACACTGCCATTTAGAAGAAGAATAAAACAGAATCTGGCTGTGCAGGACACAGAGGGAAGAAGACACTGGTGGAGCAAGTGAACCTGATTTCTCCAAATGATTTATCTCTCAAGTTCACCTAATTTTCTTTCTCCATCCTTGCAATCACTTGAAGGCACTCTCAAGCTAGAGGATCTGCTGAAGGCAGAGCTGATCAGTGACAAAACTCACACTAGAGAAAACAGACACAGATTTGGATGACTGGAGAGGGAAGAGGAGGAAGAAAAAATAAGTAAGATCAGATTCTAGACTTTCTATTGAAATAGCTTTGGGAGCCTCATTTACAGTGGATACACCTCAGTCCTCCCAGCATACTCAGTAGTTCCATGTAAAAAGTGAGCTTGCTAACTGTTACAGATCCAGGTTTTGAAAAGGTCAATGAATCTGTATTCTTAACAATTTACATTCTGTCAATTACACACATCTGGAAACAATATCAAAGAAAGCACCTGCTCTTGATTTCCTTTTATGATTTTACTTGCATGCACAGACTCTAGGCCAAAAAGAATAAATAAATGGGAACAGAAAAAGAATAAACTAGCTGCATGTGCTGCTTTTGTGAGCTGCTAAAGAAAACATCTTTGCTGATTGCTGTCCTACAATTAGCCTTCTTATTTTGAATTGTAGCTATGGCTTTTGAGAGTCATGATACAGGAACAACGACATTTCACTTTGATTACTGAAAGAGGAGCAAGTGGTTCCCTTCATGATGCTGCGAAACTGAAAGCAACTTTGCCTTGTGCTCTGTGCTGAAGTGATGTGCAGGTAAGTAATGCTGGTAATGCAGGTAAGTAATCATTGAAGAAATACGGTGACTGTTGTCGTGTTCATGCTCTCAAGATACAAGATTTTAGTGGCTGCTGCCAGTTTGTCCAAATGCTTTTTAGAACAACACAAACAAAAGATCAGAGAGCAATTTTTACCTGTGTAACTATTTGGGCTCTGGTTTCTACATCTGGAGTTTCTGAGACAGAGGGGGTCAAATCATTATCAAGCAAATGACATGCAAAGTGGAATGAAATGTATCAGTCATTCAGAAAGCTTCTGAAGTAGCAAATTACTTTCCAGGCTAATCTTTCTCAGAAGAGTTACAGCATTTCTTTCTCCTGTTTTTGTTTGTTTGTTTTGTTTTGTTTGGGGGGGGCGGGCGTGGAGGGAAGGGAAGGAAGGGATGGGCAAGGATGGTTGAAAGAACAAAATTTTGAATAAATCCCTAATAAATCATATTCTGCTCTTCTGCTGACAATTCCTGGCTAATTCTGATGTATGTTTTATTTTCAGTCTTAACACAATAACACTATCCCTTCATTTTAGAAGATTTTTGGCAGCTATTGCATTGTTTACAGCAACAGAAATCATTATTTTAGTTCTAATTCTTCTGTCATACTCTCACAATGCCTTTGTTTGGCAGAGAAAAATATATTTAAATAATAAAAGTGGTGACAAACTGACAAAAGCTGAGAATCAAAGCTACATGACAATTGCCTGCACAGAACACAATAGTGTCACTGACACAGAAAGCCTTAAAAAACCCAAAAACCAGCAATTTGCATGGTAAATACAATTCTAACTACACTGGAGTGTCACTATCTGCCCCTGTAATTTTCTTTTTTACCTTCATACCTCAGATATCTGGAGATGATACATCATAGCAGCAGTAGCAAATCACTTTTGAAGCTTTTTTCCCTAGATTTCCTTTTTTATTTCATTCCTAGAGTAGGTTCTAGTTACCATATGAATGAACAGGGCTCTTTAACAACAAATATGAGCCAGATCTTCTCCCAGTGTGTATCAATGGGCAATACGGAGTAACTCCGTGTATTCAGTGCAATTATTCCAGATTCAGAGTTTGGACCAAAGGGAGTTTGGCCCTTTATACCACAACATGTGGGCTGATGCTTAAAGTCTGAGACATTCTTAACTGTCCACAGAGCTCTCACGATACAGGGAAAAGCAGCAAGGTTGCTGGCTACATGCCACATTTTCCATCCAATTCATGCCTTAACTTTTAACTTAGCAAAAAAACATGGAATTCTTTATTTTCAGGAGACAAGTCAATAACAGCTGTGCTTAGAAGCAGGTTGCCTCAAACTTCAAAAACGTATTCCTGCTACATGTGGCGTTTCTTCACAATTTATCATTGCCTATTAGCTAATAGCAGCAGCAGGTTGTGGCTGGTTTAGTTTCTGCTTAAGAAACGATGCCACCAAATGTTAGAAGAAGAAATCAGTCAAGCAGCTCTTCTGCAGAGAAATGTGTAGAATCAAGCTCCTGTTGAGCAAGATAAGGGCTGCATTAGCTCTCAGCAGTTGTCTGCTGGTGTTTGCATTACAGAAGCAGCACGTTATGCTGGAAGGTAAATGTGTGACTCCATTTATGTGCTGCCTTGTCAGGAAGAAGAACTTCTGAAAACTTAATAGGATCATTCATGTATCTAGCAACTTTAAGATGTTTAAAGTTATGAATATTAATACTGGGCAGATGGAAGCACTTGAACATGTTAAGAATGGTAAAGATACTCATAGCAAACAATTATTTTGAATTCTTACTAGGAAAACAGGTGTGACTAAGTGCTCTCTCTTTTCCCAGCTCAGTGTCCTCTGCACTGGCTGAAGACCCAAGCACTCAAACATTGCCTGTGCCACAGCAAACTGCTGCTGGGAGCCTGTGGACACTGGCAGATGACCTCTGTAACGTGGATAGCTCAGGGCTGCCATGGCAGGGAAGAAAATGGTTTATTTCTAAAATAAGTCTGATAGTGCACTTTCCAAGATGGCCATTCCCATAGAGCTTTCTGTAACACAACTGCTTGGTGTGTACTTAGCAGGTTTGGGCAGGTCTCAGGCAAGAGTGTGTACCTGTACCTGACACTTAAGTCAGGTGAGCTCTGGCCTAGGCTAATTCTGTCTCATTCAGCATTTTGTGTATTAATATTTGTATTGTTAAACAACAGACTTTGTCAAGAAAACAGTTTAAACAGCTGCAACTATGAGCAAATGGGAATGAAAAGCAGCAGAGACCCATTTTTCTTTCTATTTCTAAAGGATAGCTTTTACAATAGCTGCTGTATCACTGAGAGCCTGAAGTTCTCTGGATTCTGAACTATGCATATTTTAAAGATATAAACAGCCTTTTGTTCAAAGTGGCTGTGTTTTACAGGCTGGATATGGACACTTCCACTTGTCTTAGTGCAACAATTTCTTCTGATTTAGTATCTATAAAATTTCTTTATTTTCTCCTTTTCCAATACAGTGCTACTTCATTTTTAACAGCAGCATTTACAGTGACTACAGTATTACATAAATACTGTACTAAATAATAGAACTTACCTTGTTTGATAGGCTGCTGGTTAGAGAAGGTGAGAGGAGTAACAAGGAATTTGGTTTCAGCTACCTGCACCCAGTGGTGCAGAATTTTTATTGTCCAGACTCCGGGTCGCAGGGGCAAGTTCAAAGGTGGTTTGTAGTGGGTAAATTCAGCACTGGATTCAATAAGAATGTCGTACGTTGCTGCAATGATGTTAACAGGATCCACCCAGATGACAGTAACGGTGACGTTGGGGCCCTTTCCCCACTTCTGCATGCCAACTGGCTCATCTGTTGGCCCCAGGAGCCCTCCAAAATTCCGGAAAATCCTTTCCTTGGCATCCCATTCAGTGCCAATCTGAAATCAAAGACCATATTGCTGCTACCATCATCTCTGTAAGCATCTAAGACCCTTAAATCAAACAAGGGCTCCCAGACACACAAATCACACTTCATTACATGAATTATACATACATATAAAGACTGATGGCAACAGGACCTAAGATCATAATATATTCACAAATTGGGACAACCCTGAACACTAGGTTGTTATTTTTGGTCCAGTTGTCCACTTTTGATTAATACAAGGGTTTTCTGCAAGACTGACATATCACGCCACCACAGCTCCCCTTTTCCTGTGTGGAAGTAGCCGACAAAGGACCACACCTGAACAAAGTCTATGAAAAAATATGAGCCATCATCTCCTGGGTCATGAAGATGTATGACACATTTGAGAGATGGGCCCTGCAGTAGAGATCTACACAGCTGCTAAGACAAGGAAGAGGATGACTTTAGGACAAGTCACATCAGGCCCTGTAGTACAGCTATCCAGGAGATGCTGTCTCCTTGCACTCCCTGCCTGCCTGATGTGGGAAGCTATTTATGGTAAACACTTTTCTAACTGTCATAACAGTGAGATTGTTTTTTATTTATTCACTAACTAACAGTAAAGCAGTTGGTTCACAATCTAGTGTAAATATTTAATGGACCTTTCTTTTCCTAGCAGCTTTCATATTTCACTGCTCTTTATATGAAAGGTTCACCCATAACCCACGGGATGATACAAACATACAAGCTGTTGCCATTAACACTTGCACGCTAATGAGAATAAGCATCTCTAAACAAAGAGCGCAACAATGTACTAACCGGTCTTCTTAAGACAATTGAAAGACATTTTACTAAATGAGGCTGACCATTAACAAACTGCTTCCATCAGTTATTAAAATGGCAGCTTGGTGGACTGCAGTGTCAAAGGCAGTGTATTTGCTTTTGGAGGAAGTGCCCACCTCTCTTGTCCCCTGAGGTCCTGTTCCCAAGATCTCAAATCAAAAGTGATCAGTATCAAACACAAGAAGATTTGAGGGACCTCATTTGAACTGAAGAACAGGAGAACCCCCTGGCTCCTTTTGACAAGCAGATATCATTCCTTGGAGAGATATCCAGATGTTTTGGCCAGTCTGGTATTGAAACCCCTCATAGTCCCCCCTTCAGGTCTTTTTTTGCCTTATCTCCAAACAGTGAAGATGACCTAAGCTGATTTGTTTCCTATACAGAAACCATGGGTTTCTCTCAAGCAGTCTCCACAGGTCGATGCACATACAGATGGGATCCCCTGTAGACACTAGAGATTCCCCCGAGAACTGTCCCTGTCCCTAATCTTCACCTCACATGGACATGATCAGAACCAGCTTTCCTGAAAGCATAACAAATAATTGTAGCTCATGTGCTTCAGAGACCTTTCTTCTAGGTTTTGTCTCATTTCCTGAGCATAAATGTTTCCAATATAATGTCAAAATCCCCTCAAATCCATAAAACCTGACAACTACCTGATGCCTACTGCCACTGATACCTGTACTGGAAACTGTCCAGTCCCCAAACCCCTCTAAATAAATTGCTGTGGCTGGCAGACAAATTACAGGAAGACTAAAAGCAAAAAGCTACAAGGCCAGTAGAATAAAAACCTACCATCCTAAATCCATCTGTCATCATACCAATTCCTGCTACTGGACTATGACACTGCAGAATATGAGACAAAATGAGCCTTCCACTACTCTGCCATCAGCACAGCAGAATCGCTGGTATTTCAGAGGTATTTCAGCTAGCACACCAGCTAATCAAACCAGACAGCATAGCCCAGATATCAGACCCAAGCATTGACTGCCCTGAGGAGCTGTCAGTGCATGCTCTCCTGACAATACCAACTGAGTATGTATAGAAATAAGTGGAGAAAGAAAATTTCCTGACCAGATCTCACTATCTACTCCGCCAGCCTTCATTGAGTGTGGCCGTGTCACAGCTACCAGAGTGCAACAAACCTCTTGGGCAAAGAAAACCCTGCAAGGAAGCTCCTTCCTCCACATTCAATATTACTGAAGAACACCAAAAAAGCTCACATAATCCTCAAAAACTAAACAGGGAGCTGCACATATCTATTTACAGGACCTGACATTTATGTGCAGTTTCCAGCTGGGGACAGTTTCCTTTTCTGCACAACTTGCAGTACAAATGGGGTTTAAAAGCACAGTATTTTAAAGGGAATTTTACTTAAAGTAGTAGTTAGAGGTTTATACTTCTTCCCTTCAGCTCTACACAGCTGAGTTCCCAGTTCTGAGAGCTCTGGTTTCACACCCAAGAGTTAATACACCCCTACAATATTTTTCATAGTTCCTTAAAACACTAAGTAAGCTTCCACTTCAAATGGAACACACGAAGTATGGGATGGAATCAAGCAGTAATGAATATCTGATAAATTATGAGGGAATGTAGCTCAGAAACTGACTTTTCCACATAATTATTTTAATCACCATGATTTTGAGCTTCAAGAGCAGGCACTGTGCACGGGGTACGTTTGGAAAGCTGGAACTCTCTCATTGGCTTAAAACTCCTGTTCAGTCCCAAGATAAATTTTTCCCAAGACAAATTATGCCTTGATTATGGGTTTGTGTCTCACTGCTCACCACAAACAGGACCATTAGGTTCACACAATGCACACTAATTGCTTGCCACCTAGTTTATTTTACTCTCTGTGATGAATCACAAGTTTTAACAAGACCAGAAATGAACTTAAGTGTTCAACTGATACACACTGAGCTGATACTTTAGTACTGTACAGCAAATCCATCTTTTGCCCTCCATGTAAAAGTTGTCATGAGCCCACAAGGGCTGGTAGGATCCATACTGTGTGCACAAGCCAGTTTTAGGAGGTGTGGGAGTTTCATGCTTGGAAATCGTCTCTCTTGGTTTTCCTGTAAGTCTGGTTTTTTTTACTCAGCCCGAACCTGAGTGCAGGTGCCGTGTGCCACCAACATGCTGCCATTAACCCCACAGGCTTCTCCACAGCCCAGCTGGCTGATTTTTTTCCCACTTGCCTTTACATGTTGTGTGGTGAAATCTGCTAGTTGGGAAGCAAAGTCTGAAAAGCAAAGCAAAGGAGCAGAGGGCAGGAAGACTGAAGAGATCCTGTCATCTCCACTACAATTCCAGTTGTGCATCAGGGTCACAAATGCACCCAGAAGCACATTCAAGTCATACCCGAAATGGGAAGAAAGCACTCAGCTCCAAAGGCTGAGAACATTCCGTTTTAAATTTCTGCCAGATCATGGGGTGAAAGTTATTGAAAAAACAGCAGTTACATGTCCCAATAAGCACAAATCTTAAGTTTGTTTTCTGGTGCTTAGCTGAACTGCTAACTTTGTTTTACACTTGCCAGCCTTTGACAAAGAAGTGCCATGTGAATAAGCAGTAGCAGATCAGAGGCTTTCCTGCCACACTGAAGCAGAAGTTAATGCTGGATTTATACCAGAGAAACAGAAAAATTTGCCTCAGAGGTACAGATGCCTGCAGGCCCACAGAAGGCAGAAAGTAAAATAAACAATTGAGAAATTATTAAATGATTTATTTTGTACCCCCTGGTCTTTTAAAATATGAACCATCTATGAAAGGGGAGGACAATTAAAGAGTTCATACAAGAAAAAATAATGAAAACAAGTAAACTGCCACCAAAACTCTTTTTATGCTTTTCAATTAGAAGAAAATCTTGCCTCAGTCTGAGAAAACCTCACCACTGATTAAAACCTTCCCATGCTTTGCTCTCACATGGCTTCACTGCAGCAGCAGCTCCTACAGGGCTGGTTATGGACCAGCCATGGTCTATGAGGCCATGAAGAGCAGCTCATTAGAGCTGTGGGATCTGGACATCCTCCCTGCAGGGCGACACACTGCTCAGAGCTGTGGGCACAGTGCAGCCAGGAGGCCACCAGCACATCACTGCTTCCCCCAAGCCTGACACTGGGCACTGCTGCTCCAGGGCATCTGTGGATCAGGCTCACAGTTGTGGCAGGGCTGGTTTTGGGGAAAAAAGGTTTGGCTTCACTGCACCGGGGACAAGGAGGACCAGACAAGTTGCCAGCAAGTAAAGTCTGGTCCAAGGTTTGTTTTCTCCCTACAACTGTTACGAAGTCAGATGTATTCTTAAGATTTTTGAGTTCTAGAACACTTAAGATCAACAGAATACTTCTCATTAGAAGTACAATTAGAAAAAAACCCTTCCGACTGCCAGCCTAGTTACTTTCAAATGAAAGATCCAGAGCAGGCATGCTCAGGTTGAAAGTGAGATTTAAAGTACCAAATAAACAGCAGAAATACTCCTACAAATCACAAGAATTAAAGCTTGTACGACCATTTATCACTGGATGAAATGGCAAGCCTACCATCAGACACATTGATAAATGAAACACAATTTCCATCCATCTCTTTAATGGCACATTAGTGTCATGGATTTGCCGTGTACACCAAAACACTGAATCCTACCTAGGCATTTCTTAATTGCTCAAGAAGATGGTAATTTATGGACTTGGCCATAATGACTGGAACGCATTTGTTCAATCAATTTTATACCTTAATTGAAATTTGTGGCTTAACAAGAAAAATCAGGAAATTAACTGCTCAGACAGTCATATCTTTAAAACAGAACACTGATGTCGGGTTCTATTAGTGGTCAACTTTCCTGATATATTTTTAGGGCAGGGTACATATTTTACTCTCTATGTCAGATCCTGAAACAAATTCCTAGAAGAAAAAACAGGATTTGTGGGAAATCTCAGTCACCACTGTGATAATTTCCTCTTTGATGTTACAACATCAATATTCTGCTCACATTTGGCATTGGTGCCTGACTATCACTAATGTTATGAGGGTTTTTTCAGCATATTCTTGAGAGGAATGAATACCACATCCCCATTCCCAGCTGGGGCTGCAGAAACATGACATTTTTCCCAGGTGTGTCTCACAGCACTCACAACAGTCACAAACCTTTTAAGTTACTGAGCTCCACTTACAACTGTAAATGCCTTCAGTTTGTTCTTTAAACAAGAGGGGGTGAGGACACTCAGAGTAACCTAAGAAGTGAAGATTGACCACAGATCTGAACTGGCAACAGTGTTTCAGTCAATGAAGAGGACCCGTAGCTAGAGAGCCACCCTCACCTGCAAGTTACATGGAAGTAGAGATTCCAAAGGCTGCTGAATTAGTATGCAGTTCCTCCAGAGGCTCATGACATTCTGCATAGGTGGCTATGAATACCTACCTCTGAGAACTGTAATCGTCCAAAATCACTTGGTGGACTTGCAATCTTAAAGACTTTCTTTGGCATCACCCATGTTTCCAAAGTTTCTAGTTTACTGACAGCCAGATTGGTTGCATGTTGTCTGATTAGGAAGCCTTGGAAACGGTCAGCAAGGAAGTAAAGGTGGACAGAAACTGGATGGCCCATGGGGTAGTATCTGTAAAACAGCACACGCTCGTCAGTGACACAAGAGAGACATGAAATTCCCATTTACTTATGCTTAGGAAACACTCATTTCAACTAGAAAATTCACCATTGTACATTAAGAGATTTGAAATGCGTTCATGACTCATTATCAAATATTCTTCTGCTATTCCAATTACCCTGAAACATAAAAAATATTACTAAGAATATATGCTAATTTAGAACATACTCACAGCTCTAAGCTCTTCAGGACATACCTCTGCTTGCCAGAAAACTCCCTTCCCTTACTACCTCTTCTGGGTAAAAGTGCCACCCAGAGATGCACAGTTAGGCTGCAGCACTCTTTGCAAGGATCAACAACATTCAAGAAATGTGTCTGTTGCTCCAAATCAGGTGGCTTTCCTTTTTTGCCTTCAGTGGGGAGTCCCCAGAGCTGCCCAGCAGCGTGGGCCAGCAGCAGGCTGGGGACAGCAGAGGGTGCTGCATGGCCGGGCACGGACCCAGCGATGCCCTGATCTGCTCCTGCAGGTAAATCTGATTCACAACCAATTCCCCAAGGAGACAGCTCTGTAGAGTGGTACTGCAGTGAAGGACACCAGGATCTGGTCCCCATAATAGGTCTCCTTTATTTTAGAAAATAAACTTCACATTCCTTAAAATCTTGAGGTTGCTTTTGCTCTGGACTTTTTACTTATAATTGAAGTGAGAAAAGGTCAAACAAACAGGAAAACCCTCTCATCAGGAAACTTGGAAGCCTTCAGTCACAGTTCAGATTTAAAGACACTGTAGCACTGGTTTAAAATAATTAAAATTTATGGTCAATTGTCTGCTACAGTCTCAGAAACATCAGTAATGACGTTTGTGTACATATGGATGTATAAAAGAATTAAAAATGTGTTATTCATAATTCTGAAATAAAATATTTTGCTACTTTACGACACTGATAGTAACTGTAAAACAAATGTGTTTGCAACACATTGAAAACCAACCAATATCACACCCTGCCAGTCAAGTCAGTGAAGTGTGACTCCTCATGCTAGTTATTACATCCAAGACCATGGCACTAAGAGGAGCTAACCAAGGACTTTCCATTACATGAAACCAGCAACACCAATGAGGAAGTATCTACAGCTTGAGAAATAAACATAAGAAGATGGGGTACAAACAGGGCCAGCACTGATGGCCTGAGCAAAAGCACAGCAAAGCTACGCAGCCAACACCAGCAACAATCTGACTTCTGTTCCGAGTACTAAGGCCCCCTGTTTGATATGTGTGCAGCAGCAAATATTTACAATATCCTTGGAATAGTCTGAGTAAATTGTCTCTTGGCAGCATCGAGTAAAAATGCCTAGAGACGGGGAGAAATAAATTAAATCTCAATAACACATTAATGTTGCTTCCACTGAAGATGCTGATATGCAATCTCACTCGGTGGCAGAGCAGTCTGTGGAGGCACAGCCTTCTGAACCTCTGAGCTGGCCCTCGTTAAAACAGTGTGTGAGGCAGCTCCTTGTATAAAAGTTTCCTGGGGTGCTGCGGGTGGCAGCATGGGACTGTCTCCAAAGATGATCTGAGGTGTCAAGAGGCTTTCCTCACAGGTCCTGCAGTGTGAAATGAGCTGGGGTGGTGATGGCAGGATCAGCTCACTGGGTGGCTGCTCTTAGACCCAACAGCCCACGGAATGCTGCTGAGGCGCTCAGCCCAAGTGCATCCCTGCACCTACTGTGTTTGAGACATGCTATCACCAGAGGGAAA